ACGTCATTGTCATCATCAGCTGATTCGCGAACGTTCCCACTTTCATCAGGATCTCGTGGTATATAAGCCCAAGGGTGTTGGTGGCAACGCTATATCCTCTATCCCTCGTTTAGTTTTGACGACTCCTATCTATACTACTAGATGTAGGTCTCTGAACCATTCATTTCCTGAATACCATATTCGCTTTTCTCTCTACATTTTTTCACGAATCGGAACGTGGGTTAGCGTTGGCCTAATACTAAAAGGTGAGCATTTTGGTGCAAGATGCGAAGAAACGACTGCGGACTAGGGGGCAGGAGGGTTCAGCCCAGTCTAGGCAAAGGAACCTCAGCCAGGGAGGACTGGGCGCTGATTACAGCATCGCTGGGAGTATCTCATCAGTGACGTAATCGGACTTGGTTGTTGGTTAGTTGAGAGGGGGGTCGTATCAGTTGCTCCGAATGGAAGAATTTTTTTCCATTCGTCGACTGTTCGCGATTGTCCCGTACTCTCCCGCTCGAAGGCAGCTTTGTTGTGGGAGGGAGGGGGAAGAACTGGAATATTTCTTTCAAGTAGGGACAACCGGGGGTCGGGGGATGATAGGTAGGATGGTGAAGGGGCATAAATCGCGATGCTGTAGCCTAAATGGGTGAATAAAACCCTTTGCCGTGGTTCTAAATGTTTTGGGTGCCTTGCACCAGATGATCCATTTTTTTAGAGCACTGCCAAAATCAATGCTGGATTGTGGTTCTTCAGAATCTGCTATTTTTAATATCTGGCATGCGTATTTCAGTTACTTTTGTGGCGGTTCTCCGAAAACGAAAATAATTTGGGTTTTTAGACTAATATCGATAAAGTGGTTATTGCTTGATGGCTGAGCTTCCAAACCTCGGACGACACTGTGGCGCAGAGCTTTGTAATTTGTTAGGTTGGTGATTTTTCTGGTTTGCTTTTCTCAATATTTTAAGTTCAGCTCTAATTCTTTTTTAATTTTCTTCAAATCCCGCCCGTCTCTACTAATTACTGGTTTATTCGCAAAGATTCACTTTGCTTATTTCCTTATTTTTATTCAGTTTTCGTTTAGATTACATTTTTTCTTTTACAAATCCTTAATTATTCTATACTTCTAACAAAACATGCTACTAACAAAACCTTCAGTTCAGTTGCCTTACCAATAACAGTCATGCTTTTATAGATTTCCTTCCGATCCGATGTGATGCATGTTCTGGAACATTTTGGTAAGTTCTGTATTTTCCAACATTTCTTCAACTATTCCCTTTCTTTGAATTTTCGCCCTATTATTTGAAGCTTTGCCTTTTTAGCCTGTCGCACTACACCTACGAAGGACATAACTGTAAAAATGCTTACAAAAAGGTTGGTAAATTTCTTTGGTTGTTCACAAGATTATTCGCTCATCATCTTGCAAATTCTGTTTTGATTCCGAGATTTGGTCAGAAAAATAGCTCTCCGCTCTGTCTAACTCATGGGTATGGGGGGTGCGAGGTAAGAGAATATAAGAGTGGAACCACCTAAATCTTATAGCTTTTTTCATTGTCGTTTCCTATGGTGTACTTCCCGTATGTACCATTTATGTGTTATTTATTTTGCAGAATGTGCAAGTACCCACCTGTCCTCTGTGTGATAAACCTGTGCCTACCCCAAAAGGAGTTTCTCCAGATGTACAAGTGAGTTTCTAAACGTTTGATGAACCTGTTTTGTTGTAACTTAGAGGCTTTGTTTTAGGTAAATGAGCATATTCAAAACAATTGTGCTCAAGGTGCAAAGAAGAAAATCTTTGCGAACAGATGCACCGTAAAAGGGTGTAAAAAGAAAGAGGTCAGTTCTTTCTCTGGCAGCTCATTCCGCGTGAGATCATGGACTCTCTACTAGCGTGTTGACCGCTCTGGATCATTGTTTCAGCTTGTCCCCATCACTTGTCCCTCATGCCACCAGAACTTCTGCCTTGGTCATCGCCACGAGATAGATCACAACTGCACACAAGTCAAGGGCAGTCCTGCTCTCTCAAGAGCTGCGTGAGTTTCCTAAAAACCAAGCTTCAACTCTTTTTCTTGAGATTTGATGATTGATAATGAGTTCTGATGAACACTGAGCCTATCAAGGTGTTAATTTCAGAGCTGCTGCTATGGCGAGAAACCAAGGAGGACAAAATTGTGCTAGCCAAGCGAGGAGTTCGGTACGTTTTTGCATTGAATTCGTTTTTTGTTGGTGGTGAAAAAATGGTGAAAGCCCTGATCACTTTCTAGCTCCCGTAGCTGTGTTTACATGGTACTGAAGGACAAGTATCAAGTCTTCGCCCTTAATTAGTCTTTTTGTGGGGGCGGCACGAATTACTTCCATTCGGTATCCTAACGGCTTGACTATACAATGACTTGCGGGGCCACTCGATGTACAAGGCAGTGTACTTATCTTCCCAGACTGATCTGATACCAATTCACCGTGCGCAGAGGGTATAGGGCTTGGTTGGCCTGGGCGGGAGCTAATCCAGGCATTTGATCCGCGGAATGTGCTCGTTTTAGGCATGCTCTTTGCAACTACACCACCCCCGCCTCAGGAACTTGTTAATTT